GGAGGCTGGTGGTGTCAAGTGGACACTAAACAACCTGACCTATTCAGGTGGTCTGTGCTCCAGGGTACACAGAGATGCATGTGGGGACATAGAGGGGGCTGCTGGTTGTTACTGCCTATTGTTGCTGGGACCACCCAGTGGGTCCCTAGACATGTTCCCTTGTGAGGCTGAGCAGGTACCCCAGGGCTCTTCTAGCAGCCACAAACCCACCATGGATCTCTGGTACAAAAATCCCCCTTGCAGACTCTGTTCTGTATTCACAAGCCACTTGTGGCTCTTTACATCCTTGACCCCAAGCTCATTATACCTATGACCAGATTAACCAACAATCATCCCAAACCTCCAGGGGACAAGTGACTGAGTTGGAGTCCTGGCCTTCCTTCAGAGGTACCCCTGGGACTTCTCCCTTCCCGTCGCCTCACAAATTCTTTTTTTTTTGGTACCAGGGATCGAACTCGGGACCTTGCACTTTCGAGGCAGGCACCAGAACCACTGAGCTAAATCCCGGGCCTACCTCACAAATTCTTAACTCTTGCCACCTTGACATCCCAAGGTTCTGAGCAGTGCTTTGGTTTGAGCCTCATGCATCTTCAAGTGTGGGAGGCTGAGGTAATGGCAACAGCCCTAAAGTCATGAGCAGTGGAAAGAGGCTTTGTTGGTCATCCTCCCCGCTGCCATAAAGTAGAAGGAGCAGAAAGTTTATGTCACCTGCATCTCTCTCTGGCCTCAGATTCCCCTAGAGCCTCTGTGAAATCTAGCTCTTGTCTTCCCTGTGCTGGCATGGCTTCCTTCTTTAGACCCCTGTTCTTTTTCTCTACCTACTCCCTTTCTCTAAGCATCACATTGGTGCCTATTTTCCCTGCAGGCATTGTCTGGGCCCCTGGGGGCTGGCTGCTGATCATCAAGCCGGGCCTGACATTCCAGCTCCCAACCAAGATCTATAGCTTAGTCCTGCAAAGCCCCTGATATGCTCAGAGCCTGGCTATGCTTTAGACCAAAGATAAAAGCAGAGGCTGGCTGGGGCACACCCACCTCAGCGATGCAGGCAGAGGGAGGGCCCTTGGCTAGAGGTGGCTGCCAGAAGCTGTATGCAGATGGTCTTGCTTGAGAGGAGGTCTGTGGAGGCTTCAGATCCTCCCTTCTCACTGCCCTGGCAGCTACTCTGCTCACCTGCCCCCTGGAAATTGGCTCAGTGACCCCAGTCCCTGAAGGAGGTGGGGTAGGAAGGGTAAGGAAGGTCTCACTAGTCTGCTCTCCTGCTCTCTTTTCTTCTGCCCACTCTCTTGCCACCCACCCGCAGGCCTGCCTGCCAGGTCCCAGGCTGGGAGCAGCTATTAATTATTAAAGCAAACAAAAGCATTTCCTAGCAGGGAGGCTGGCCCATAGCTGCTTACAGGAAAGGAAGCCCCAGCTGGCTTCTCTCTCCCGGACCTTGGTTGTGTGCAGGGATCAGCTCATGGGAGAGGGCCAGCCTGGGTGCTCCAGGGATCTCTTTTAGAAGGAGGACTGGCCTGTGCCTTCCAGAGGTCTCTCTAGCCTGGGAAGCAGATCAGGAGAGAACTGCTACTGTACTAGCAGCTTCCTGCTAGTTCTCACTTGGTCCACAGGGCAGCCAGGGGAAGGTGGGCTGGAGCTGGGTATGCAGGTCTCAGAGATAAAGTCCTATTGGTTCAGGGAAGAAGCAATGGCCAGGGGTCCTTGTGTAGACTTTCCTGGCAGGACAGTCCTCCAATGGATTCCATAAATGCCTCCATGGAATCCCTCTTTTCTCCCTACTTTAATTGCTCAGAACTTTGCTTCCTACTGGCAGAGCCTCCTTCACTGATCTTAGCAAGACTCATGGGCCTTCCCTCCTCAGCTACCTTCTGTAAAACCTTGGCAATTTTGTAAAGGCTAACATGTAAAATGTTACATGGAAGGACCTGGATCCTGGACCCCATCAGGGCAAAGAGGGGAGCCTTATAAATGCACTGTTGTCCTCAGTGGGTACTCATTGTCCCTCTACAGACTGTGTGAATCAGTCCTGGGTACCATGGACACAAGGATGAATGGGCCACCATCTTTGCCCTAGAGGAAGTCACCAGCTGGCAGGGTCAGGAAGATGGTAAACATCCTTAGGCAGCACTAAGAGCTGTCCCCCTGGGGCAGGAAGGGAAGGAGGGCACAGACAGAGCAGGTGCTGGGATGGGAGTCTTGAAGGCTGTGGAGACTTTACTCAGTGGGCTTTAAGAGAAGGCAGGACTTACTGGCAGTTCTCTCATTCCCCAGAATTGTATGCCAAGCATCATACAGAAGCCAGGAAGGAAGGTTGGGGTCAGTCTGTGATGAGCCCTGAATGCTGACTATACAGGAGGAAGTGGGTACAGGTGTAGGACAGCAGAGTCTGACCTATGGTAAGCATGCTTAGGCACTAAGAACCATTCCCCCAGGCAAGGATAGAGCAGGAGCTGTGGTAGAGTGGGTCACTTTATTTTTAATCAAGGAAGAGACATGATCAGAGAAAAGTACTTTGGAAATGTTGCTTTGGTTCATGGTTCGTGGAAGATGGTTTGGAGGAGTGATGAGAAGTTGAAGCTGGAACACCAGACCAAGAGGCGCAGGCAGGGTACAGTTATCCTTCAATCCAGGGAAGAAAAGAGTCAAGGGCAAGGGGGGCTCACTGTTAAATGTGGTAACTGTGTAATCCTAGTACTCTGGGAGGCTGAGGCAGGAGGACAGCAAGTTTGAGATTAGGTTGGGCAACTTAGCAAGACCCTGTCTCAAAATTTAAAAGGGCCTGGGATGTAGTTAAGTAAAAATCCTCTAGTTGAATCCTAAGTACTACCATAAAAATAAAAATAAATAAGGGCCACCGGGGATTTAGCTCAATGGTTCCACCTCCAAGTCCTGAGTTTGATCCCCAGTACCAAAATAAATAAATAAATAAATAAATAAGAGTGACTGTGAACACTGAGGTTGGGATTAGGACACATACAAGACATTCAAGCCTTGAAAATCAGACAACTCTCCACTCCCAAGCGCCAGTGGGTGGGGGGTGAAGCCAGGCAGAGGTGAAGAGGGAGATGGAGATAGGGAAAGGAATGTGCCTTGTTGCTGCTTGGGGATAAGAAACCTGACCAGAGGACTTACTGAGGAGCAAGATGCAGTCTCTAGAGATAACAGGCAAGGAAAGGGTGAAGAGCAAGGCTTAGCCTTTCCCTTGGGAAGTGGAGAGGAGAATCAATCAAATGCGTGGGAACTCCCAATCGGGGTCGTGGGACAGAACAGTCTGTGGACCTGGGGATAAGCAGCCCAGTCTTGAAACGCTCCTGTTCAAATTGTGGAAACCCTATGAGTCCCAGTGACATGCTCCTGGAGACTAAGACTGGACATCTTGATATCTCAACCCCACTTAAGACCCACCCCGCTCCCAACCTGTTCAGGCAGCTGGGGAAAGAGGTGCCCAGAGCCTCATCTCCACACTGCCTGCACCCCACACAGGCTACCAGGGCACTGCCGCTGAGCATCTGCTTCCTCTTTATCCAACCTGCCAGCTCTGGGCAGGTACAGGGAGGTCAGAAATAGGGACCTTCAAAGGCAGACGCTTCACTGCAGCTCTCCATCCATGTCTGCAAGGAGCTCTCCCCACACAGCCCAAGGTGTGGCCAAGGATGAAGAAACTGACCATCTCAGGTTAAAGAAAAAGACAGAACTCACAGAAAAACAGGCAGGATAGAGCTCTTATCATAGCACAGGAAAAAGAAAGTAACTGGGAAGTAAGCTGGGAAGGAAATACACTAAAATGATGATAGTCGTGTTGACAGGTGACATTTGATTTTCTATAATATATAGTTATATCACCTGTAAAACTTGAGTTAATCTGAAGGATCCTTTCTTGTTCTGAACAGACTAGCTCCCGATAGAGCCCCGAGGGTTTGCTTCTGATGACTGTGAAAGAACAGGCATACAGAAACATGGCTTCAGTTAGCACATGAAAGCCCATGTGTGTCTGTTACCAGCTGAGGTTAGGGCGCGCTGAGTGGTGTTCCCTGCCCTGGACTGGGAGTGTGAAGGTGGGCCAGTGCACAGGCCTGGTCTGCCCTGGCAGTTCCCTGACTTCCTTCAGGCTGCTGGAGGACAGCTGCTGCTCAGACTTCTGAGAAGCCAGCGCCCACCTGTCCCAGCTGTTTGCTGCGGCCTTCCCTAATGTTAGCTACTACAAACTCCCCATAGCACAGCCCACCTTCTCCCCAAGCTCACAGCTGGCGTTACAAAAAGCCAGAATCTCAGATGCTATAAGGGGCAGGTCAAGAAACCTTCAAAGTTCCAGTCCCAAATCTCGGAATCCACCCCCCCCACACACACACCTAGGTCCCCTGGCCAGAACTCTTACTTCTCTGAGGAAATAAGCGTGGGTTTTGATTTCCCAATGGCTCCCAGCCTCCGCCTGGACCAACGGTGGTGGTGGTTGGGGGGAGACACCTGCCAAAGAGGCAGGGCTCCGCCCCCATTTGCATCCCTAATCTGTCCAGCCAAGCAGACAGCCTACCTCTTTAGCCCCTAGCTGCCTCTCTGGCCCTGCACGCCCCCATCCTCCAACTCCGAGGAGGGGCATGGGAAAAGAGAAAGGGGGCAGGGTTTCTTGGTTTACTTGGCAGCGCTGCGGAATTTGACAAGCAGAGTCAAAGAGAGGCTGGACGTTCCTAGACGGCTATAGTTGTGAGTGATGGCTCAGGGGCTGCAGGCAGTGGGGATGCCTCCTCTTCCCGAGCCCTGGACGCTCACGAGCGACCTTCAGAAATCAGAGCCTGGACAGCCAGAGTTGAGGCAGAAGCCCCGCCCTGACCTGCCCCATAGTCTGGGGAGGAAGCACAGGCTCCGGACCAGGTGAGCTGGAGAGCTCTTCGCCCGGTCCGGAGTTTGGGCTCTCTCCACCCCTTGCTCCAGCTTCGGAGCAAGCAGAGCACAGGCGGCGCCTCGCCGGCCGTCCAACCCGAGCGCACGTCCCGTCAAGCACTTACCTCTGCGCTGCGGTGTTGGAGTCTAGGATGCCCGCGCCCTGCATCCAGGAGCGCACAGAGCCCAGGCCGGCGGGCAACAGCGGCTCCTCCTTGAGGTTCAGCCCCCCGCGGGGCAGAGTGTCCTGCGCGGGGAACATAAGGGCGCGCGGTCGGTGGGCGCACCCGCCGCCTCGGGTCCAGTCCCGCCGAGGCTGTGCGACCCGACGGCACGCGGCGCCTCTGGGAGCGCAGCGCAGTGCCGAGTCCGTGGCTCCGTGAGCGCTGGCTGCTTGGGCGCTCCCTCGGAGAAAGCGGGTCCGCGGGCGCCAGCGCTGTTCCCTCCCCTCCCGGGGCACGGGGCGGGGAGATGCAGGGATTCCCCCGCGGCCTGAGCGCCAGCGGGCGGACGGCGAGCGCAGCGGGGAGGGCGGGGAGCGGAGCCCGCAGCCGCTCTGCGCGGAGGCGCCCCAGAGGCGCGCTCTGGCGGCTGCCCGGGGCCGCGGTCGTCGGAGGGGGGGTCCGGGCGTCCCGGGGGCTGCTCGGGCGAGGCGGAGGCGCGGGGCTACCCGCCCTCCCCCTCGCCGCCCCCACCTCCCGCCCGCCCGCGGCGCCGGCGCGGGGCGCTGATTACCATCCGGGAGGCGGAGGCTGCGGGCGCGGAGCACGGCGGCGACAGCGGCGGTGGCAGGAGGAGCAGCAGCCGTGCGTCCCGGGGAACGACAGGGGCCGCGCCGGGCCAGCAGACCCCGCCGCTGCCTGCGCCCCGCGCGCCCCGG